AAAAAAAAATCATAATGTAGCTTCAGGTTTTCTGAGGGCTGCTCTTTAAAACCGAGACCAGTTCTAGGCCCGAAATACGATGGTTTCCCCATGATAGATGCGTATTGTCATATTTATTTGAACCAGACTTTATTTTGACATAATTGAGGTTCATATGCACTTTTGAGAAATGATAAAGAGCAATCCTGTGTGCCCTCTGGCTGGGTTTCCCAGTGGTAAAAGCTTGCATAACCAAAGGCCTGTCTTGGAGTCAGGACTTGACAGAGATACAATCCATGTGCCTTATTCACATTCCAGCAGCAATCCAGGCACTCGGGTGTGTGTGTGTGTGTGTGTGTGTGTGTGTGTGCTTAGTTCCATGCAATTCCATCACGTGTGTTGATTACCACCCTCCCAGGCAAGACTCAGAGCAGTTCCATCACAAGGGTGTTCTGTGCCACCTGTCGGTGTTGTTTGAAAGGGTGCAGGAAATCGGACATGGTCAACACCATCACGTCTGGGGCCAGAATGCAACGAGGTGGACATTACAAAGTCTCATTTTCTCTCTCGGCAAAATAACTTGTTTGCCAAGAATGCAACTAAGAAAAGAAACCAGCATATGTTTGCATTTGCCTAAATACTCTCCTTCTCTAAGACCAGAATGTTGTCCTCGGCTCTTGAGCAAATACACCATTCAGAGCTTCCCAGGAAGAATTGAAAGAGCAAATACTCAGTGTGCTAAAATAAAGATGAGATGGGCATGAGGATCAGGGCAGCCCAAGGCTCCCGGGACTTGGACTGTAGTCTGTAGGTCTTGTACACCCCCACGCCCCTGCGCAGTTCAATCCCTGCCCTGGGAAGGAGTTAGAGACCCGTGACAAGCCAGAGATGCCCACAGAGTACCTTAGTCTGAGGGCCCTTTGGGATGGTGGCTCAGCTCTGACCTGGGAGGGGTCCAGCAGCGTTGAGCTTGGGCCTGGGGCAGGTAGGGTCACTGCTAGGGCTGAAGAATGCTAGGAACTCCAGATCTGCAGGCCTCTTCCTGCCTACTTCTTTTTTTCCCCCTTTTAAATCATTTTATTAGGGGCGCATACAACTCTTACCACAATCCATACATACATCAATTGTGTAAAGCACATTTGTACATTCCTTGCCCTCATCATTCTCAAAACATTTGCTCTCCACTT